ATGACAGGCTAAAGCCAGACTGGAAAACGAAACAAGGCAATTTCTTTATCAAGAAAAGGTTCCATTTGCAAAAAAATATATATGTGGGAACTAATTAATGCACAAAAAAAGGCCTCAATAGTCTCATAAATTCAGAGTTATTGCACCATTTCTCCAGTCTGAACATCCAAAGGGGACATGGATTTCAAATTAATCTTCACTTCCTTCAGGAACTGTGCCTCTAATAACTTCAGGCCTTACAGATGATGGACAGGACCCTTAAAGACATAAAATGTCACTTGAAATATAAAGAAGCGCCAGCATTTAATAAAGTTTTCATCATCCTGCACAAACCCTCCACAAAGCACTGGTGGCTGAAGGTGGTTCCAGGGCAGGGCTTTCCCTTTTAAATTTTAAAACCTCGAGGATAAATTCAGGGGTTTGTTCTCCCCCACCACCCCCTTGCAGGGAAATTTCCTGCTCCTGAAATTCACTCTTTATTTTATTTCCCCCTATTCTGAGAGTTCTTGTAGGGATTATGTTGCAAATAATATTTATATTCCCTTTGTGCCCCGAAAGAGGAGATATCAAAGCTCATAATAAATGGCCAATCATAGAAAGAGTCTTATTACTCTGGCAAGGTTTCAATACTTGCCAATTTTCAAGCCTTGAGTCAGAACCACACAAAGTGTGTCATGGTTACATTTCCAGGGTCTGGTAGGGTTGAATATACCCAAAACCAGAGTCAAATATTGCTGCTGAAAATATTCTCATTCACTTGCAAATTGTCAGAGTTTCAAAGATGCCAAATAAGGGACAAGATCAAAAATGTCCCAAGCTGAAATATCACAATTTTACACACACAGGGGTGGGAAAAAATGTTGGAAAAAAGAAAACTAGCAGGAGAAATATATATGTGAACCTGTTTGGTGCTTCTCAAGAGTGTAAAACCAATTAAATTATTATTTTGAGCTGGATTGTGGTGATTATTGGATTCCCATTTTCCACTCTGCGTAGATTTTCATATAATGACACATTCCACCCCAAAGGGAGGAAAGGGGAGAAGAAAACCACACTGAAACTCGAATTCAGATGCAACATCAGTTTAATGAAAAAAAGTCAAGTAGTTTTCAGCAAAACAATAGGAATATATATATATATTTTTAAAGGGAAAAGAAGCCACTTAAACCATTTCAGCTGAGAGACAGCAAGCAAGACTCCACTTTTCCTTAATTCCTGAACAAAACCCCATCCAACTGACCATGTAGAAGCACAGCGTTTACACCAGGTCAGCGTGAAATTCCAACTCCCAGACACAAGGAAAAGTCATCAAAAGCAGGATTTTTCAAGAACAAGACAAGCTTGGCCACGTGTCCAGAAAGCCCCTTCCTCCCCTCCCTGGGCTGGAGGAGGGTGTTGAAGGTTCTCAGCCCTTCTGGAAGCGCTGACCAGCAGCTTCATCTGATGCTTTGGGCTCCCTGGGCGAGGCACTCGCTGGATCGGCTTTAGCAGGGCAGGCACCTCCTGCCATAGTAGCGCCCACCAAAGCCACCAAGGCCACCAAGGCTACCCAGGCCGTAGCCCCCGGAGTTGATGGGCACTCCCTCCTCGCTCAGGATGCTGCCCACGGCGGCGGAGGTGGTGGAGCCCACGGCGGTGTTCTGGGGAAGGAGCTCAGGATGGGCCCGGGCAGGGTCACCACCACGGGCGAGGGCTGGATGACCACCCGGGAGTCCTGGCACTGCCTCACGCAGGGCTCGTTGCAGCTGTTGGCCAGCGGGGTGGGCCCACAGGGACGGCACAGGTCGTAGCAGGACATGGCTGTGGGTGGCAGACCTGGCAGAGAGAGAGAGAGAGGGAGGGTAGGGATGGCACGGGCAGAGCGTGAGATCTCAGCAGGAGAAACACAGACTGGGAAGAAGGGACAGCCTGAGCGGGGAGGAAGGGATGTTCAACAACACCAGTCCCAAGAGTTCTCCCTGCAGTGAGGACCCAACACCTTCTCCCACCTCCCCCCAGCAAAGAACAAGGACAAAGAAGTGATGAGAGCAGGATCAAGGAACAAGGCTCTCAGCGACCACTACAGAGAAGCAAAGCTTCTCTCAAGGCCCCAAGAGAAAGAGGAGAACAAGGGAAAAAGAAGAGTGAGGTGAAGGCTCTCTGCTGCTCACCTGGTTCACCGAGGAGGAGAAGGCAGGAGAAGTGGATGAGGAGCCTTCACTTGGACGGGCTTTTATACAGCCCCGCACAGCCCCGGGCCCAGAAGCGCCTTTGCACATGGAATGTGTTTACCAAGCTCATCTTGCATGCAAAACATCCCAATTAGAGAAATGGGGACACTGCAACGCTGCCTTTTCATTTCCTTGGCCGGCCCATGCCCAGTCAGCCTCCCAGGCTCCTTTCAAGTGACACTATTAGAGGCCAAAATGTTTCCCGGGGGCAGTGACACGTCAGCACAGGCGGATGATGCAGCAGGTGCTGAGTGTCCCATTTCACCAGGTGGTTCCAGGCCCTTTGCCCTCCAGGGCCCCACTTTAAACTCTTCCCTGACAAATTGGGTCAGGTTGCTCATACCCCTGAGGCTTCAGCCTGGACATCCAGCTGTGAGGGTTGACCCCAGCCCTCACTCGCTCTCATGTTCTGCTCCCTCACTCGGATTTAGGCATCGCCTTTCTAAGCAGGGCTCCTCTGCTCTTGGGCTTTGAGACCTAGCTTTGATCTCAGCACAACTTTGCTGCTTCGTTTGCCTTTTTTCCTCCTCTCCTTCATCCCAATCTGCCCCAAGCAGACAATTATCAGTGGTTAAGGATGAAGGTTCCTCTCCCAGCACTTTTGGCTGAAGGCACCTCCTTGACTTGGAGCCATCCCTGTGACCAAGGCACATCCTGCCCAGTGGATCCATGTCCTTCTTTCTGCCCAGGGTTGTGCCACAGCTTCTGCTTTGGCACACCCTGACCAGTGGCACAGGGTCAAAGCCTTGGCAGGAATTCCACAGGACACCCAGCCCTGCTCAGCGACACAGGGAGGTGGTGGAGTCCCTGTCCCTGAAGGTGTTCAAGGAACAACTGGACATGGCACTCAGTGCTCTGGTCTGGTTGAGATGATGTTGGTAGGTCAAAGGATCAACTTGGATCAAAGGATCAACCTCCTCATATGGAGGTCTTTTCCAGCCTCAGTGATTCTGGGATTCTGGAGTCTTTGCAAGGACAGATGGAGGAGCAGGGAACAAAAGATGCCTCCTGCTATTCCTGAAGAACAACCAGAGCAGCAGCAGCACCAAAACACTGCCTATGTGGGAAGGAGGGACAGACACCTGAGCTGGTGGGATACCAGGCCCTCAGGATCCCCAGGTTGGATGACAGAAGGGCCAGGTTGTGAGGGACCAAAGGATCACTGCTGGTCACCTCTCCAGGTCCAGTCTGCACAGCAGCTGGGGGAGCATTTCTGGAGCATTTGCTGCCCATCTGCTCCAGGCTCACATCCCTTCAGGACACAGTGACACACAGGGAATGACTCCTCAACAATCAATGCTTGTGCCCACAGGACTCTTCTTGGGGGGTGGATAAAATGCTTCTCCTGCTCCCTTCCAAGCCTTGTGTTTGGTTCTCAGAACATGTCACTGAGTACTGTGTCCAGGGCTGGGCCCCTCATGGCAGGAGAGACATTGAGGGGCTGGAGAGTGTCCAGAGAAGGGAAGGGGCTGGAGCAGCAGGAGAAAGGGGCTGGAGAATCCCTAAGGGAGCTGAGGGGGCTCATCCTGGAGAAAAGGAGGCTCAGGGGGGACCTTCTGGCTCTCTGCAGCTCCCTGACAGGACAGGGGAGCCAGGGGTGTTGGGTCGGGCTCTGCTCCCAGGGAATGAGGGACAGGAGGAGAGGGAACGGCCTCCGGCTGTGCCAGGGGAGGGTCAGGTTGGGAATCAGCAGGAATTTGTTGCATGGAAAGGGTGGTGAGGCCTTGGCAGGGTCTGCCCAAGGAGGTGGGGGAGTCCCCAGCCCTGGAGGTGTCCAAGGAAGGACTGGCTGTGGCACTGAGTGCTCTGGGTTGGGGGACAAGGTAGGGATGGGGCACAAGGGGGAACTCAGTGACCTTGGAGGCCTTTTCCAACCTCAGTGATTCTGTGATTCCTTCAGTTGAGTGGCCCATCCTCTGTCAATCCCCAAAGTACCAAAATATAGCAGAGGACTCACATCTCCCTTTACACAGTTGCCCTGAAGGACCTGTCCCTTGAGCTCCTTGGGTTGGCCCTTGTGTTCCTGGGTTTGGATGTTGTGCTTGCATGGGGGAAAGGAAAACAACCAGTTGTAGGTGCAAACTTGCAATGACAGCTTCGGGCAGGTGGGTGTTGACCTGCACAGAAACACCTTCCAGCAGGTCAATGTTTTGCCTCATCAACTGGGAGCCGATGACCAACCTCCCTTCTGGCTCACATGTCCCCTGGGGCACCTCATGGTCACCCTTTGCGTGCTCACACAACACCACACCTCCTCCACTGTCCCATGCTCACTTCTGATGACCATGTCCTTGCTGAGGTTACTCAACTCAGCCAGCCATGCAAATGGTTCACCACCCACTTTCTTCCCCTCTGGGGCATCCCATTTCCCGGGGAGCAGCTGGGCTGCACATCCCAGGATCAAAGGAACTCGAGGAGACTCCAGATACAATGCAACATGAACTTTATTGAGTGTAAAGAGTGAAACAAAGCAGTGAACACTGGAAAGGACCCAGTCAGACAGCCCTGCCCAGCAGTGGGACACACAGTGCCTCCCACAGCCACGGGCAGAGCGCGACCAGCAGGACCCCGCTCCACTGGAGTCAGGGGGAACCCACGGCACAGCACAGCAGGAGACAACACGAGGGGCTCACGAGGAGCAGAAGAGAGCAGGACAAGCACAAAACATCAGCTGGCCACGTCTGCCTCCCTCCTCAGCAGGAGGAGGAAAGCCTTGTGGAAGCGCTGGCCAGCAGCTCCATCCTCAGTCCGGCTTTGGGCTCCCTGGGCGAGGCACTCGCTGGATCGGCTTTAGCAGGGCAGGCACCTCCTGCCATAGTAGCGCCCACCAAAGCCACCAAAGCCACCAAGGCTACCCAGGCCGTAGCCCCCGGAGTTGATGGGCACTCCCTCCTCGCTCAGGATGCTGCCCACGGCGGCGGAGGTGGTGGAGCCCACGGCGGTGTTCTGGGGGAAGGAGCTCAGGATGGGCCCGGGCAGGGTCACCACCACGGGCGAGGGCTGGATCACCACCCGGGAGTCCTGGCACTGCCTCACGCAGGGCTCGTTGCAGCTGTTGGCCAGCGGGGTGGGGCCACAGGGACGGCACAGATCGTAGCAGGACATGGCTGTGGGTGGCAGACCTGGCAGAGAGAGAGAGGGGGTAGGGATGGCACGGGCAGAGCGTGAGGCGCGGCCTGAGATCCTGCTCGGCCAAAGGAAACACAGACTGGGAGAAAGGACAGTCTGAATGGGGAGGAGGGAAGATTCAACAGCCCTGACCCCAAAGATTTCCCTGCAAGGAAAGCCCAACATCCCCTCAGTGAAGAACAAGGGCAGCACAGACAGTGGGAGTAAGACCAAAGTTCTAATGTAAAGCTGCACAGAGGCAAAGATTTGGTTGAGACCAGAAGAAAAAGAGAAGAAGGGAAAGGGAAGAGGGAGGCAAAGGCTCTTGCAGCTCACCTGGTTCACCGTGGAGGAGAAGGCAGGAGAAGTGGATGAAGGACCTGCAGCTGGATGGGCTTTTATAGAGCCCTGCACAGCCCCGGGCCCAGACGCATCTTTGCACACGGAATGTATTTACCAACAAGCTCATATTTTATGCAAAGCATCCCAATTAAGTAAACTGCTGGTTGTTTACCTCCCCTGCAACGCTGCCTTTTCATTTCCCTGCTCCTGACGTGCCCAGTCAGCCTTCCTGGCTCCTTTCAAGCGACGGCATTAGAGGCCAAAATCTGTTTAGGGTATTTTTCAGCAAGAAACAGGCTGGTGTTTCAGCAGGCTGGGTGGAGAGGTGCCACATTTCCAGGTGATGTCAGCACCTTCCCCTCCTGAGGCAGCCTTTTGGTCTTTGTAGTAATAAATGCAGGGTTTTTTTCATTATAAAGCCAGGATTAAAGGGCAGGCTTTGGCAGGGACTGGCCATAGGTGTTGCTCTCTGTGACTCCACTCGTTAGACATCATTTCTTCATCAGAGAGACTGTTTGGTTTTGAACTTTTATCTCATATTGCCTTTAAAGCCAATTATCCTGTCTCTTTTGCCTTTTTTTTTTTTTTTTTTTTTTTTGAGTTGCCTGGAGTTCTCCAATCAGCAGAACAAGAATGTTCCAGAAGGAATGATGCTGCTTTCCCGCCAGCAAGTATCAGTCAGCGTTATCTTGTGGAAACCACTCCCTAAGAAGAACATTTTCTGACTTCAAAACTCTTCCTTCTTCCATCCCCTATGGCCATACTCTCATTTTTAATTTGGCCCTACATCTGACCAGAGAGCTGTGGGGGGTTTGACCCTGGCTGGACACCAAATCCTCTCTGTCACTGCCCTCTGCAACTGCACAGAGCAGAGAAAATATAACAAAGGTTCATGGGTTGAGATAAGGACTGGGGGAGATCCCTCACCAAGCACTATCATGGCCAGAACAGGCTCCAAGTGGGGATATGAACTGAATTTATTACCAACAGAATCGCAGCAGGAGAATGAGAAGTAAAATAAATCTCGAAAACACCTTCCCCCACCCCTCCCTCCTTCCCAAGTTCTCCCCCCAGCTGTGCAGGGAGATGGGAATGTGTTATCCCAGAGGTGTCACCACCATTCCTGATGAGCTCAGCCTTAGCCAGTGGTGGGTCCATCCTGGATCTGGCTGGAATTGGCTCCATGGACAGGGGGGAACCTTCTGGCAGCTTCTCACAGAATGCCCCCACTACCAGAACCTGGCCACAAAAACCCAACAGAGCAGCACAGTTCCAAACACCCAGCAACACTCCTGAGAGCACACAAAACTCACACCAGGGGCTCCTGAGGGCACACAAAACTCACACCAGGGGCTCCTGAGGGCACACACAACTCACACCAGGGGCTCCTGAGGATTGGCAGTGCCAGCAAACCCAGCCCAGAGAGCATCAGGGCTCAGGATCTCCCTAGAGATGCACGTCCAGGGAAGGACTCCATGCTCTGCACTGCAGCTCCTGGGGCAGGACAAGAGCTGAGCATCCCCAGGAGGAGTGACAGCCCTGCCTGGGGCACCACCTGCACTTCTGTGGCACCCCAACTCAGTCCTCATTGCAAAGGGTGGCCAGGATTCCATCAGACAGGAAACTCTTTGATTCCAGAGCCCCAAATTCTTTATTAAGAAAGATGAAGGGAAGGTTTAGTTTGGCAGGAGATGTTTCTCCAGGCAAACACACACTTTCAGAAGAGAAACTTTGAAGGGTCACTTTGTTGTTTCAGGGAAGACAAGAAGGCAGCCATGTGGTGGATATCAATCCCATCACAGCCAAAGAAAAGCAGCTTTGACTCTGTCAGAGGAAGAATGTAGTGCTGGGGACCAACCATTCCCCGTGGAGAAACACAGCATAAAAGGGAGGAAAAGGGAAGAAAATTGAAAATCAGAACCCATACTGGCTTTTGCATAGTTGTACTGGGTGCCACATATCCCCTCTCCTGGTTTGTGACTCCCTCTGGTTGCAGGGTTTGGAGGAAGTGCTTGGAGGAGGAAAGGGAAAGGACCAGTTGTAGGTGGTAACACACAATGAGAGCCCTGGGCAGATGGGTGTTGACCTGCAGAGAAACATCTTCCAGCAGGTCAATGGCTTGACTCACCAACTGGGAGACAATGACCAACCTCCCTTCTGGCTCACATGTCCCCTGGGGCACCTCATGGTCACCTCAAACTGTTCCACACACCCTCCACCGCCCCATGGCTCCTCCAGTGACCACAGACCTTGAAGGTGCTCAGCTCATCCAGGTGTGACAAATGTCCATTAGTGGCCTTTAACCACCCACCCAGTTCCCCTCCAGGGCATCCCATTTCCCGGGAGCAGCTGGGCTGCACATCCCAGGATTGAAGGAACTCAAGGAGACTCCAAATACAATGCAACATGAACTTTATTGAGTGTAAAGAGTGAAATAAAGCAGTGAACACTGGAAAGGACCCAGTCAGACAGCCCTGCCCAGCAGTGGGACACACAGTGCCTCCCACAGCCACGGGCAGAGCGCGACCAGCAGGACCCCGCTCCACTGGAGTCAGGGGGAACCCACGGCACAGCACAGCAGGAGACAACACGAGGGGCTCACGAGGAGCAGAAGAGAGCAGGACAAGCACAAAACATCAGCTGGCCACGTCTGCCTCCCTCCTCAGCAGGAGGAGGAAAGCCTTGTGGAAGCGCTGGCCAGCAGCTCCATCCTCAGTCCGGCTTTGGGCTTCTTGGTCGAGGCACTCGCTGGATCGGCTTTAGCAGGGCAGGCACCTCCTGCCACAGTAGCGCCCACCAAAGCCACCAAAGCCACCAAGGCTACCCAGGCCGTAGCCCCCGGAGTTGATGGGGACACCGGACTCGCTCAGGATGCTGCCCACGGCGGCGGAGGTGGTGGAGCCCACGGCGGTGTTCTGGGGGAAGGAGCTCAGGATGGGCCCGGGCAGGGTCACCACCACGGGAGATGGTTCAATGATCACCCGGGAGTCCTGGCACTGCCTCACGCAGGGCTCGTTGCAGCTGTTGGCCAGCGGGGTGGGGCCACAGGGACGGCACAGGTCGTAGCAGGACATGGCTGTGGGTGGCAGACCTGGCAGAGAGAGAGAGGGCAGGGACGGCACGGGCAGAGCGTGAGGCAAGGTCTGAGATGATGCTCAGCAGGAGAAAGAGCAGAGACTGAGAAGAAGGGACAGGCTTCGGGAGGAGGAAAGGGTTAGGAACCCCATCCCCACAGTTTAGCCACAAAGAGAACCCAGCACCTTCTCCCACCTCCTCCCACCGAACAGAGAGCCCGGGAGCAGGATCGAGTGGCAAAGCTCTCAGCAAAGGCTGCCCAGTGGCAAGGCCAGAGCTGAGGCCAGAAGAGAAGGAGCAAGAGCAGAGAGACAAGAAGAAGGCAAAGGCTCTTTGCTGCTCACCTGGTTCACCGAGGAGGAGAAGGCAGGAGAAGTGGATGAGGAGCCTTCACTTGGACGGGCTTTTATACAGCCCCGCACAGCCCCGGGCCCAGAAGCGCCTTTGCACATGGAATGTGTTTACCAAGCTCATCTTGCATGCAAAACATCCCAATTAGAGAAATGGGGACACTGCAACGCTGCCTTTTCATTTCCCTGGCCGGGCCATGCCCAGTCAGCCTCCCAGGCTCCTTTCAAGTGACACTATTAGAGGCCAAAATGTTTCCCGGGGGCCGTGACACGTCAGCACAGGCGGATGATGCAGCTGGTGCTGAGTGTCCCATTTCACCAGGTGGTTCCAGGCCCTTTGCCCTCCAGGAGAGGCTTCTCATAACGAACAGGGCATGGCTTCTGGCAACCCTAAAATAATAGGCCAGGCTTAAAATGTTTTTTCTGTGGCAGGAGTCACCATATCCATTGCTTAATCGAATACCCACCTCGAGCAGAGCTGGGTGTAAACTTCCCTGTCACCTTGGGCACTGTAATGTTTCAGAATCAGGAATTCAACATCAAGAAAAATCCATATGCTCTTCTCCCTTCCTTGCCTTCATTGGAGCCCCCCCAGGATTCTCCAATCAAGAGGAGAAGGATGTTTGAAAAGCAGGGACAGTCCTCTCCACACTGAGTCTCCTTCCAACTCCTCCACCCAGCACCAAATATCAGTGTTGGAATTTTCCAGCACTCCTCCACCCCCTAGCTCTACAAAACTCTTCTTTGGGCCTACACCCTGACTCAATAACAGGCGATGGAAAGAGCTTGCAAAGCTCTCCGTGAGACATCAAAACTCCTCAGAAGGACTCAGGTCTGGGAAAACACTGGAGGCAAGCAGACACCTCCAGATCACTGGTTCCACTTCCAAGCATCTCAGCACACTCAGACATGCAGTTCCCAGCTGGTCTGTCCCACAGTCAGCACTGATGGTGAGGGGCTGCCTGAAGGCTCCAGTGCCCTGCCATGCTCTGCATTCTCTCATCATTCCCTCACTGGAATGGTCTTTGAACCCCCCCAGTTCTCCTTCTACCAGTTCAACTCCTGAATGTTGATGGGGGGTGCTTTTCCTGAGGGCATCCCTGCACGGGGAGGGGGTGGTTTGCTGGCAGCAGCTGTTGATCAGGGAATCCTGGGATATGCTGAGCTGGGAGAGATCCACAAGGATCATCCAACCCCAACTCCTGGCCCTGCACAGACACCCCAAACCCTCCTGGAGCTCTGGTAGCCTTGGGGCTGTGCCCACTGCCCTGGGGAGCCTGTTCAGTGCCAACCACCCTCTGGGGGAAGAACCTTGTCCTGAGGTCCAACCTGACCGTGCCCTGACACAGCTCCAGACCATTCCCTGGGGTTCTGTCACTGGTTACAGAGCAGAGATTGATGATGCCCCTCCTCTGCCTCCCCTGAGGAAGTTAAAGACAGTGATCTCCTTTCAGCACTGTAGGGGCTCCCCCAGGTTATGGGGCAGCACAAAAGTGACCCTCACTCTACCTGAAGCAAGAGTGGGAGGCACAGGGCAAATCATCACCCCTGGGGGACTGCAAGCTGTGGGAAGGAGTGACAAGTCCACTTCTGCATCACCAACTGCATGACAAGTTGATGGTGTGATTCCTGGGGGGGTGACCCTGTGCAGGGCTAAGGGTTGGGCTTGATCCCTGTGGGCCTCTTCCAAATCAGCATATTC